ATAACAAATTAAAAAAAAATTACCAATTATTTGATGATAGTAATGTTTAAGCAGCCATAATATCATCTCCAGATGCTCTAATTCTTGATATCTCATTTTCTAGGCAATCTACAATGCACTCGAAATTTTGAATTAAGGCTTTCACAGCTTTTAAACGTGCCGCTTAACAAGTTTTACTCAAACTTTTGAATATTTATGATGAGAAATTAATTTAATGATAGTCAAGTAAATTCCAGGATATTCATAAATTTATAAATTTTCTCGGTGACCACGCCTAAACCGGACAACGTTTTTACAGTATCGAAAAGAATATTCAAAATCGTGGTCCATTTCTGTTCTATTTAATTTTTTTGTTGAAATAAAAATTAGTGAACTGAAGATTGGGTCTGGGGCCCGGGGGTCTTTACGGGTTGGGTCTCAAGCGGCAAATGTCCATTTTTTCACCGTTAAATCCGACACTGTATGCAATATTAATTTTTGTATTTCAATTGTATAGATACTTCCTAAGAAATATGCAAATGCATGAAGTTCCGAGCCCTGATAATAAATTAATAAGGCAATTCCCTTAAAGATTATATAAACAAGGCTATTAACATCAGCGCATATGATAAAAAAAATTGAGGAAATGGGATTGTTGAACAATAATCTGATATGAATTTTAAGTTAAATCCTAAAAACGCCACTGTTTGGCATGTACATGGATAAAAATAAGTTGAAAAAATTAATGAAAATATGGATTATATGTCAAAAACTTGAAAAACCTATATTGATTATTTTAATTACGGGTTACTGTTAATAAAGTTAAAGCTAGTTTTTAAATATAAGTTCCATCATCAAATTAGTTTCGGATTCCATAAAATATTAAAATTTGGTAATATTGGTATAATAAACGAAGTATTTATTGTATCACATACAATTATACCATAAGTTTGTTATTCAATTGTAAATTTTGTAAAAAACGAACTCTTACTCTTGGCCCACTCAGTATTCATAGTAAAATGATCAATTTTTATAGATTATGTAATAATACATACTATAAAAGAAAAATTTTCCATTGTAATTTGTTTTTATTATTATAATATTATTGATTTCTTTGTTGGCAGTAACAATTTATTTTGATTTTGTAATTTTAATATTTAATCCATATCGAATTGAATACAATAAAAAAATAAAACGCTACAAAAAAATATTTTAAAATATCCATGTCATATCTTTTTAGCTGTTTATGATCATACAGTTCTGATTTATAATTTTATTATAAATTATATAATACAGTCTCAGTGGCATATATATTATCGGACAAAGTGGGGCAGTGCCTTGGATCCCCAAAATACAGGAACCCTTAGGGTCCTTGGAAATTCTGAAATTATTTAATAAATATATAAAGAAATAAAGAAATGCTTAGCTTGGAGTATTATTATATTTGTAATGTATGACCGGTTTCTAATTGTAAATTTAATCAAGTATTTACAAAATCTGATTACTATTTATTTATATATTAATTTACGGATTAAACCATTTATTAATTTTATTTTATTAATAATTTAAATTAAATAATTAATAATAATAATAATAATAATACAATTGGATCATTATAGTTCTTATAGTAATGAACTGCATTTTCTTTTCATTCTGTATGTTTATTAATTATCAGTTTAATATTTATTAATAGTTTCATGGTAAGCATTAATTTTTGATAGAACAATATTACATGTATGTTTTGAATTTTCATATAAAGATAATAGAAGACCTAGATTATTTACTGCTCCAGTGCCTTATCTTATCTATATTTTAAATAGGTAGATATTTTTTTGGTTTATTACAGTATGATTTTCTCCTATTGTAATTAACATGTCATTCAATTTTAATTTTTAAGATATTTACGTGATTTTTTAAAGGAATTAATATAAATTTTGTACAAATCTATCGAGTACTAACGAGCGAAAATATTTATTTTTTTTTTAATGTATAATATAGATATATATCAAAGAATCTAAAGTTGTTTATATTTATATTTTAACCCTTTGTCGACCAAGCATCGAATTAAGATATTTTTTAAATTTTTTTTTGCACAAACATGTTATATTTGACCTATATAAG